AGATTTGGTTGTCTGCAACAACAGATGATAAGGTCTAGGGTCACACGTAAGCAGACCAGAGTCATATAAAAGCTTTTACTGGCACACAAGAGCAAATAGGAATGCAACTAGCCTCATTCTGGATCCTCAACACTGTTCTTTAATCTCTCTTTGACACTCTGTGTATCAAAGCAGTCCATATAGTACCAAGAACACAAGGATGAACATCGCTTTCTCGCAAATATGGTTTTCTTGGTCCTATAACTAAGAGAAGCAGATAAAGATGGGGTTTTATGCTCTTTAGTCCTATATGCATTTTATACCACCTGCATTATCCAGGTGTCACACAAACTACTCACTTGTATCAAAACACATCTGGGAAAAATTTATCACTGACATAGTCTGAGATGCTTAGATTCTGTAAATCAAGTGCACAGGAGTGTCTTCTCACTAGATTACTTCCGCAGAGCTATGCCTGTATCAAAGGAAAAGTTTTCACCCAAGAACAAGCCAGCCAGTAATAAACATGCTCTTTTTTTCCTACATGTTCTGACTTATTTCAAACAAGAGATGTAAATATTCCACTTCTGGAGTCTAATTTCTGTAGGACTGAATCAAATTACCTTTTGGAAAAAGTGACTTCTGGCTAGCACTCTATTTAATTCATTCTGTCAGTGCATGCTTTAGTGCTCTGTGTGGGAGTTTGACTTCATCCAAGACTGATGCTCTCTGCTCTATAAATTGAATCCACTGATGCATAATTGAGCCCTTGACTATATCAAGTATTTGCTTCACCAGACTCTCTTCTTGCTTACTTGCTATATTTGCTCCATGAAAAATATGTTTTTTTTTCATTTTGGGTAATGAAAAATTGAGGAACCTGAAACTAAGAAGTGCTGAGCATCCTTGAAGCCCTGCAGAAGTAGATAACATTTGATGCATGTCAGGTAACACTTTTGATTTCCACTATTTTGCTGCTACTTTCATTTTTCACAACATGTTCTTAAACAAAATTTGTTGGAAGCAAAAAAAGTTAGTGTTTGCGTTGAAACAGTAATTGCTTCTTGTTTTGGAAAGACAGAAAACAGGCTTGCTTCACATCATCTTATAAATTTGTGTGTATCTGTAGACTTACAAGCGGCTCTTGGGGAAGCAACCTAGCAGTCTGGAGCCTTTTGGCAGAGTCCACCCAGCATTCTGTTCTGTCAATCGATTGTACGCCACCCATAGCATACAGCATGTCACACACTCCAGATACTTAATCTGTAAAATGAGATATCTCATTTTTAATTGATGAATAAATGTCTCATGGGGAGGCCAATTTCCTTTTTTCTCTGTCGGTGCTAACTAACAGCACATCAAGATTGTTTTTTAATCATTAAAAGAGAAACACAAAACAGCAGGACTGCCATTCTAAGTGCCATTTGCCTCTCCATTACCAAACTCCCAGGCTTTGTTCCAAAGGGATTTGGAAGATGTTTGGAAGCAGCTGCTCACAGCTAGGATTGCCTGACATGCACAAGTGCCTGAGGCTATCAGGCTAAGCCAGGTGTAAGCAGCCACAGCCCTGAGCCCTACACCACACTGTGCTGCGTCCCCGAGGCTGCGCTGTGAGGATTTCTGGAGGCCTGGCCTGCATTTTGTTGTATTCCAGTATGCCACTGTATCTGGATTGTGAGAAAGCTTGCCTGCCCTTCTAGGTGTGGTGAAATGTGGAAAGGCACCAAAGTACTACTAGCACTGTGCAAAATGGGTGAGATAACAAGAAAGGAGAAAAAAAAAAAAATCAAGTTTTAGTTAACATACCTATTTGGACAAGCACATTTGCAGCCAAGCATCACCACATCTATTGGCAGAGGGGTTTGTGTGTGGACCAAGAGAATACAAAACAGCTTGAAGTGGTGGTTCAAGAAAGGCACACCGTTAGCGCACTGGTTGCTTCAACACCCCTTAAACTTTTTGCTGCAACCAGGAACTATGTGATCATGTTAGCCTGAAACAGAAAAGCTTGTCCCACAAGCCTAATATAATTACAACTTGCTCAGAAATACTGGAAATTCTACTAAAACCTTTGAAGATCTTGTTAGTCTTCTCTGGCTTCATTTACAACCACCTTGTAATGCTGAGGAATTTCAAATCTGATGTTTGAGAAACAGAACAATGCTGAGGTTACCAACTCTGATGCAGTTCACCAGCTCTGGATTCAAAACTGTATTTGCACCAGAATTCCTGCGTTAGTCGGTCAAGCTGCTCCCTGCCTATCTTGCAGAGAGAGAAGAATACTCTTCCCTCCACGATTTGGAGGTGACTAATGCAGGACAATACAAATGGATGCTCTTTGGAACAGGGATGATGTCCCTGTGTGCACAGCAGCACTCAGTGGAACAGGACTGGGATTTCAATCCATCCCTGAGAGTGTGCCATAGTAAATGTAACAAAACAAGTAATATAACAATCATCACCTGTGGCCACTGTGCCACAACGAATCAATTTTCTATTTGACAAATCTCTGCTATCATCAGCACTAATCCCCAGTGGAAGACATAACCTAGAATCTTTGCACAGGAAATGAAAGAAGTCGTCACAGAAAACTCAGTAATAAGTAGAAATAATTGCAAGCAAAACAACCCACATTTAAACTTCTGGAATAACTGTGCCTATATTGAATCCTGCATTGCACATACAGAAGTTTGCCATCGTTATCAGTTTTTAGGTTTCCTCTGTCAGGTTTTATCAAGAATGCAACCGTGGCATTTTTACAACACTGATGCCATCAGAAAATGTAAGCCATCTCACGATTGTCATTCTGTAACAAAACGGGGGCAGGTTGTTACAAGTTTAACTTTATTTGAAACCCCTCGGGTCTTCCTACACTAGTTACACAGATTGCTTTTGACATGTGGGTTGCACTTGCAGATGCCAATCACAGAGCAGCAGACAGCTTAAAAGCAGCCTCTATCATCCCTCTAGCTGTAGAGGTCACTGCACAACAAGGATTACACTCAATATTGGATCAAGAGCTCTTGGCTTAGTCACAGCTGAACAGACCCTGTGCTGTTATAGGGCAGGGCTCCCCATCCTTAAGTTTTTCAAGTTCTCCCTACATGTATAATTAATATCATATACTGCACCTTGGTTTATACTATTCCTCAAGTAAAGCCTATTCAAATGGCATTTAGATGGAAGGACACTAAAGAAAAAAAACACAGTGAAGGTACTACATGATAATACAAAGTTTAAAATTTTCTGATTTTTTTAAAATAGTATTTAAAATTTAATTTGAGAAACTTCATACATTAAGGGCTCAGAACACTATGCCTTCATTCAAAGAGCTAGAACTAAATGCAAAATACATGTTCAAGCAGTGTATGTTTACTACAAAGGTTTCAAACTGACTCTGACCACTGAAGAAGGCTGCTGACTGAACACACAAATTCAGAAGCTCGGTATAAATATATCTGCACAATTGCAGTCTCTTCTGCAGGTGCATAAAATGCTTTTTCTTCTAATTTTATTTTATAATTCATTAAAAATTTAAAAGCAAGTAGGAATTGAAAAATCTGGAAATCTTATTTTCCTCTCCTAATCTCAGACCAAAAGCCAGGTAAGAGAAGCTAAAATATACTAGCTCTAAATTCCCAGGGACCCAATAATCAAGTAGCCAGATCAATTCACTCAAGTATTACAAGTAATATTTGCTGTGGAAATCAGTTGGTCTTAAATGGAAAACATTTTTTAAAAAATTTTTCTAAAACATTCAGCATATTTAACAGGTATCAACTCCCTCCAGTCAAAATTAACTGATGCTTCCCTATATTTTTAAGAGAATTCTATTTGTAGCATGCAAATATACCAGAAAGTACCAAGTACGCATGGGATATTCCCTAGAATAATCTTTTACATAGACCAGCCTCTCCAGTTATTTTATACATATGCATATGTGTAAGTATGTTTTCTTTAGTAATTTTCCCTTTCTCACCAGTATAAAGTTCCCCCTTAAGAAATGCAGAGTTATAGAGAAATTGAGAATTTCATTGGGAAAACTAACAGCTGAATTAACAGTGTTACTAATATGTTACATTACAGTATAAATTGAAAGTTTAGATGAAGGAAGTACATCATGTTATAGAACATTTGAAAGGGGCCAAAAAATCCTAATATGAAGGGCCAGAGCTTCATATTCAAAAAGTTAAAATTTTGCAATTAACACAAAGGCCAAAAAAGGTCAGGAGCAATTTTTTTTATTTTTTTTTTAATAAGCTTAGTCTAGATAAGCTTTCTGCATGCATAAACTGTTGTCCCTGCAATAACTGGAGATCAGTATGTGCTGGAGCAGGACCCTAGGATGTGATTTCTAAGTATTGGAATCACAAATGAGTAAATTATTTGCTAACATAGTATGTACAAATCAGTTGAGAAAACCTCTTCCCAAGGTCTTAAAAGCCCAGGAAAGATCCCTACAATTCTGTGATTTAAATCTATCCTTTGTTTACTCTGCTTTCACCTTACAGAACTGCACAGGAATCAACAAAGTAACGGTAGGTGGAATGAGATTAGACGTTTGCTAAGGTTGAAACATAAGCAACTCCATTCCTCATATTCAAAAATACTGGTGAATGTCATACCCCGCTTAAGGGACTACGTACACATAGAAAAATAAGCATACATGTGGGTCTCAGAAGGATTTAGAAAGATCCAGATAGAGAAAGAAATGCAAGTTTACAGTTTCCTTAAATATCTTTCCGCTGTATCTGCTATGATGAAGATGGACATCCTGATACATTATTTACAACGCTGTTGGGAATGCTCCAGAGCCAAAAGGAAGCATATTGTAGGCACAGACTAATGCAAGAGAAATGCTACTGCAGAGCTTGTCTTTTGGAGACACAGCGAAGGGCCGAGCAGGCGGATCAGCCATGGTTTCCCATGGCACCAAAGCAAATGCTGTGAGGACACAAATGAGGGTCTTGGGTGGCGTCTTCTTTTTCCCTTCCTTCCACACTACATGCAGCAGGTCTCACCTCTTTACCCAAATCCAGCATTACTTTCTCTTCTTTCAAATCCATCGTGACAAATACATCGCAAGAAAAATGATTTCCCATCAGCCCCAAATAAAAAAGCAAGTTAATATCATGCCCATAAATTAACTTTTCCTCAGAGTCTTCCAGGGCATTAATATCCGGTTGCTTAGCAAGGATCAGATTCTGCAGTGGTATTTGCTGTTACTGTGACTTCAAACATCAACTGAAGGCATCAGTCAATGAGTAAAAGGCCGTACAGCTCACAGAGGTGGCACTTAGATTTTAAACTCAAGAGAACAGGAAACACCCACCTCCCTCTGGCACAATATCAACATATCTGCTGGCGTTTGACAAAGCAAATGTAATATCAACAACAGCAGCAACAAGTTAATCACTAAGGACCCGCCTGGGCTTTTGTGCTTTTCCCTTCCCTGTGCCCGAGAACCCAGCAGGAGGTAAGCCCTGAGGGACCACCACACACAGTGAGCAAAAGGCTGGTTCTAAGGATAAGGCTGAAGAGAAAGAGTTAGCACTTTATAGACGTGTGAGCGCAGCAGTGCCCAGTTCTCAGCTGGGGCATCCAAGTGCTGCAGCACAGGATCACAGAACCGCCAACCCTCCTGCCAAAGCAGGGCGGACAGGATCGTGTCCAGGCAGGTTTTGAAGATCTCCAGAGAAGGAGACTCCACAACCTCTCAGGGCAGCCTATTCCCACGCTCTGTCATCCTCAAAGAAAAAAAGTTTTTCCTCATGTTGAGATGGAATTTCCCATGTTCCAGTTTGTGCCCATTGCCCCTTGTTCTGTCACTAGGCACCACTGACAAGAGTGCGGCTCCGTCCTCTTGACACCCGCCCTTTAGATATTGATAAGTAATTACAAACAGTGCAGCTAAGAACACTCCTTTGTGCACTCAAATGTTTTCGGCCTTGAGCTACTGAAAAGACTCCTTTCTGCTTCTGTGTTCCCCTACTTAATGAATTACTTATTTTCAGGTGGCTACTTTGAGACATTGCGCCTTTGTAAATATGACAATATAAAATATTTTAGCAAGACACTGCAAGGAATGAACGACAGAACAATAATTCATGGCTCGTACTTTGTTACTTCACAACCACAGCCCCAACAGAAAAGCTAGCATGAATCACGACCCTGTAATTCACACTGTCAAACTAGTACTGAATGGCTATATATTGAAAGTAGTAGTTAACTACGGATAGATATTATTAATGCTGGTAGCCAATCCAGATATATTTACTACTCAGTTATTTGCAGTCTTCTCTGTGCAGGTCTGTGAGTAGCTGATGTAGAGCTGCAGTCTATTTTGGAACTGGAAATTATATTAAACCTATATATTTGGTTTCTGAGTTTTTTACTTGGTATTTTGATATTAAGGAAATATTTGAACCTGCAAGTGGTAAAGTGAACAAATGTGATCAAAAGGGCCAGGACATTAGATGCAAAGTCTTCTGGAGTGTAATCTACACCTCACGTTTACCGTTATTTTAAAAACAAACAAAAAAAGGAAAAAAGATAATTACCATGAACCACATCACCATGGGGATTCAAAGCTCACTGAAAACAGTCTTCAAAATACTCTGAAACTCTAGGAGGAAAGAGACTGTGAAAACATTGGCTATGTTTTACTCGTGCGTTACTGTGTGTGTGCATGTCCTGCCAGACAAAGACAACTGTTTTTCGTAAAACCTCTCTGTGAACCAGATTTCTCTTCCACGGGTGATGGATTTTCACCAGCTCTCCCAGGGGCTGGACAAAGGGGCTGTGGCTTCTCAGGAGACACCGTACCTGCTCCATGACACCTTCTGCAGACACCCACCCTTCTGCTCACCTTCTTAGTTTGGCTGAATCACCACTGCTTCTCTGAGACCTTTGGTGACTGTGGCAGGAACTAGGACCAGTAAAGTTTAATTCCATTTCACATATGAAATGAGCACAAAGCCATCCACACATACTACTACACATACTAAAAATTCAGTTACGCTTATATGAGATCCACAGGCTAATCATGGGGATCTAAATCAAGTCAGGGTGCTATAAACAAGCAAGGGAAAAGGAAAAAGGATCATTAGGTGCACGTGCAAAAGGTGCAGTTTGGTACAAAGAATATAAAACTAATTTCTACACTGGTTACAGGAAAATATACAAGAAAACCTGCCACAATGTTACGTAATAGACACTGTAGAACAGAGACAGCAAATGACCTTCCAGAGTATCAATCTGATTGGTGAGCACAATGATTTTCCGTGATCATTCTGCCTAACAAAGAGAGGGAGAAAGATATTTCATTGTGCCCACCCCAGCACCACACTGCTCTCAACAAGCCAGAGGGTACTGGACCAGGCAGAACTTGGATGCCCAGCATCCTCTTGCACGAGCCACACTCTCACATTCTCCCAAGGTCTAGAGTATTTGTTACAGCTTTATTAACAAGGCTAATCTATACATGGAGTGGGATGACAGAGTTGTTAAATGCCTTCAAAGATTTACACGTGCAAATAAATAGAAAACTGACAAAGGCAAACAAGTTGCTGTACATACTTCTTCTAGCACTTAAAGGCAAAACTAATCCAATAAAATGGAAATTTTGTTTTTCCAAAGCTCTTTCCAACTGGCCATTTTAAAGTGTAGTAGAAGCACTTGCATCTCAAAGCTCTTCCATGTGGTACAATCGTCCCCAGTTCACACTTGGCAAAACTAGAGAGGCTACAGTCACGGGTCCACAAATCGGGACCTGCACAAACAGTAGCAGGACTTTTGCAAGCAGGTTTCTCTGCTTAACAACAACAACAAAAAAACAACAAAAAAAACACCATACCCCACAACAAAAAACCCAAACAAACAAACAAAAAACCACCCCAAAAAAACCCAAACAAGTACACAGGAAAGGAAACACATTAGACACTAGCTCTGTTGCTACTGCCTTAAGAGCACAAGGATCCCAGCCTTACTGACATTCTACTCCTCAGGATCACTCCAGGGGGTTACTCTCAAGTAGCCTACATCAACAAAACTAGCACACGATGAAAAGTCTGCATCTTAGAAGCAGGTGCAACTTCAGATCTGAAGGGTTCATGTCAAAGCTGAATGGGCATTTGAAAGCCTGCCGCTTCAGCGAAATTAAGCTTTAATGTTGCAATTTGCTCCTAGCAAGTAATTCTGGTGAAGTTTGCTAAAGCTATTTAAATGTTAGAGCATTTCTGCACGTTGATTAGCAGCCAAGAGCTACAAGCATGAAAATGCCATTTGAAACACTCATAGCATAATTTGCACATTCTTGTTCCAGAACCTAATCAGGATTACAGTGCTTGAGACAGTAAATTGAAGCCAAGTCATAAACTTCACCAAAGAGTTAACACTCAGCTTTTTGCAGGAGCTGGGCAAACAATCGTACCAAGATAAGAATACATCCAGGGAGGGTTCTCACACCCACAGAACTAACACAAGTCCATTTATATTCAGAAAAGAAGTATTGCACTCTGGGATTTATCTGTTATGTGACATATGAAAATGCTGCCTAATGAGGACTGACCTAGTTTTAAGAATGGAGAGCGCACCCTCTCTTCGCTTCTCCTTTCACTGTTCATTAGCAAGCCCTCTTCCCCTCTGACAGCCCCTGACCAAACCCAGTACAGCACGTCTTTCTGCCATGGCTGGTAATGTCATCTTTTTCACTATCCCTTTAGAATGTCATTGGGTAACAGTAACCCTAAAATCCTCAGGGAGGAAAAAGAACAAAACAAACACACAAAACCAAAAAAAACCACCAAACCCAAAACAAAATCCACAGAAAAAACCCACCCACCCACCACGGAGCTACTGCCTGATTTAAGAGGCAGGTTGGGGTAACTCAGCACTCCACAAGCTCAGATCCACAGTGCCTGCAAAGCACAGGGGCTACTCGATGCCAACATCCACAATAGGGGAGCTTTCAGAGTTCCTGGCTGGGGAACTTGCTTGAAGATTAGTTTCTCCAGCAACACTAATGCACCATGAGGAGAAGGCAGCAGTGCAAAGCAAATTAAAATATTTCTTTGATTGCATTGAAAATTCAGCTTCAATTAAAAATCATTGACACGGAGAAAAAAAATAATCTGCTTATCTTAAATGGCTCCTGAATTAGAAGTCTCAGAGGCCCCTCACCCAGGCAGATTTAATGAAAGATTATTTCAGAAGCAGAGATCATGACTGTATAGCACAAGCACTTCAAAGGGAACCAGACTTTTAATACATCTGCATGCTACATAGACAAGATATACCCAAGGTTAGAGGAGACATGAGAGCTGATGGGGTTGAGGCAGTGTGCCCAAAACCATGCTGCAGACCTAAGTCAGTTCCACAATACGTGTTCCTGACTCCCAGTCTGAGATTTCGTTCAAGCAGTCCTGAAAGGACTCGCTGCATAATCTTCCTGCAGCTGGTCATACGTGTGGATTAAACTGAACAGCTTATAAGCAATTTCTGACTCAAAAGCAGCCTTTCATCATAAAACCAACGTCTTCCAATATACCTGGAAAACTTGTATTGGCTCTTGTAAAAATACACCACTGTTTATATATGGCACATCTTTCTGTCCTCAGTAAGTTTCAGGGTTTTTTTTACAGATCTATGTATTTTCTCTATTATTTAGATATTTTATTTTTTTTTAAACACAGTTATGGTATAAAGAAAAGATAGTAAAAGCTAAATCCATTTTACTTGTGAAAGAATAAAGTTACCAGGATTAGGGAATGGCTGAATTACTGAAGTTACCTTATGTTCTCTGTTCTGCATGTCTCAAGTAACTAGCATCTCTTTACAGTATATACAAAGTCGCTGCAACTGTATCAGACTAATATACAAGTAGTCGCATGAGAAGCTACATGGTGAATGACCAATAATGCAAAAGGGAACATTACTGCAGTGCTCGCTGCTTCTTAGCACACCTGTGAAAACCAGAGGGGTCTGCTCTTTTCTGACATCGTAATTTCCTATGTCCACATCCGGGAAAATGGAAATTAAGAGAGTCATTGTAGTATGAGTATAATAA